CAGCCATGGAATTACACTCTGTATTGAGATGAATAATGGATGTAATGTAAAGTGTTGCATTAAATACAATCCGTTATGCTCACCTGCGAGTGCACCATGTTCTTAAGACTCTTCAGAATTTTCTACAATGAAATGTGACAGGGCAAGATTGAATTAAATATACTAACACACATGTCTGACAGGCATTACTATTTTTAACTTGGTGGTTGTAAGAGAAAAGTACTCCTACAAATTGTAAATTCAAGTGTTGTTAATGGCTTCAAATAATGTTGAATAACACGTAGAACTGGTAATTGATCAGTACGCCTAGAGTGAAATTCACCATTTATTGTGCCACTGTACAACAAAAGATACTGTTATTCTCAGCAACACCCCTTGCAGGGCGTCAACACACCAAAAATGAAAACAAATTGCAAGGAATAATTTGGAATTGTAAATTACAGTACAAACACAGTGTAACAATTACACCATTTGCCTTGTTCATAGTTACAACTGTACCAGGTACAGCTGGGAGGAATAAACGTGATGTTAATGATGAATACAATTGCATATGTGTAAAATTATGTTTGATGTGATTGTGAAGTTTTACTGTAATCGTTTAAGTATCTTCAGAACCGCATTTTTTGTAATAAAAATGGCCACCAGTCGGCCATTTGGAATGACATTTGTAAAACAAAATGATGTGCATCAAGGTCTTAACATATACAAGGTATGTCCATGCATGAAGGAGATCCGGTTGCAGAGATGCAGAAATTTAGATAAAAAATAGAAGGGTCAAATAACTTCGAAAAACATCTTCTTGTCAAATTTTGTAAACATATCAGGTTACTGCATTATCTAAATGACAGATATTAATAATTTATAGTAATTGATTTTAGTAGTCAACACCAGGGTCTTAGATGTATAAATATTATCATTATTGTCTGGACATGTACCTGCTTTTATTTTTCAATTCATCTAGATGGCATGCTGATGAAGACAATAACTCAAATAAAAATTGGTCGAGAGTTTTATACAACATATTAAAATTTGAAACCAGGCAGAGGAAAAACATTTTCAGTTATTGTAACCACAACATTGACGATGATGACAACGACAACTACAAGACAGACAATTTTTCTTTCATATACATGTACATTTCCTTCCATTCACATTATGGGCACAGCAAAAATAGGTATTGCCTCAATACAACAACACACATTTCATTGAATTCACATACCTTATTTAAAACTTTTAAATCTTCCAAAATATCATCTTCTGATAATAAAAAGTTTAGATGAGGTAAGACTGTTAAGGAAAACACCTGAGTTCATAGCATCATCAATTAATATGAAGTTTCCTTAGCAGTATTTGGAATGTAAAAACAAGAAACACATGATCCTTCAGCTGATCTTGTGCTTTCAAATGACCATTCAAGTACAGTGAAAGAATGAATGTAAAAACAAGAAACACATGATTCTTCAGCTGATCTTGGGCTTTCAAATGACCATTCAAGTACAGTGAAAGAATGAATGTAAAAACAAGAAACACATGATTCTTCAGCTGATCTTGGGCTTTCAAATGACCATTCAAGTACAGTGAAAGAATGAATGTAAAAACAAGAAACACATGATACTTCAGCTGATCTTGTGCTTTCAAATGACCATTCAAGTACAGTGAAAGAATGAATGTAAAAACAAGAAACACATGATCCTTCAGCTGATCTTGTGCTTTCTA